CCTCAATGAGATTCTCACACTCCTGGAGATTACCACGCAGGAACAAATAAGAATCATCCGCGAAGAATAGATGTGAGATTTTGGGAGCCTGCGGAGCCACTTTCACTCCATCCAACTTTTTCTCAGAAATGGCCTTACGCGGGAGTGCAGCAAACCCTTCCGTGCATAGCACAAACAGGAGGGGAGAAAGCGGATCACCCTGGCGAAGCCCTCTCGAGGATGTAAAGTACCCCGAAGGCGTACCATTCATAAGAACTGAGAAGGAAGTAGATCGCAAGCACTCATGTATCCACCCTTGCCAAACCGAACTAAAACCCATCTTATCTAAAACCGCGAGCAGAAAGGCCCATTCAACTCTATCATAGGCCTTTTCCATATCAACCTTTAAAGCCATGTAGCCTTTCTTCCCTCGCGTTTTTATTTTTAGATAATGCATTAGTTCGTGACTAAGAAGGATATTATCAATTATCTGCCTTTCCCTGATGAACGCATTTTGGCCATCGGATATTACTTGGGGAAGGAGGGCAGCAAGCCTCTCAGCCATTATCTTGGAGATGATTTTGTAAACAAACTGGCATAGGCTAATTGGGCGTAATTGCTGCATTGTCTCAACATTATCCACTTTCGGGATCAACGTTAACCAAGTATGATTAACGCTACGCAGCAAACGCCCCGTGACAAAGAAAGAACAGACTGCCTCAATGACCGAATCCCCAACAACATCCCAGAAAGCCTTGAAGAACTTTCTGGTGAAGCCATCAGAGCCCGGTGCTTGCTTCGATCCCATGGAGAAGACAGTCCTACGGACCTCCTCAGGCACAACCTCTGCCGTCAAAGTGGCATTCATCTCAGGAGTAACATTACGATTAATGGGGAGAGTAGCAACCCTTTCCACCATATTTGGGACCTGGGATTCAGAGGTAAAAAGCCCCTGATAAAAACCAGTGGCAATGGCAGCTTTCTCCTTTTCCTCCGTGACCCAGCTCCCGCTCTCATCCCGGAGGCCGTCAACAAAATTCCTTTTCCTGCGGGTCCGAGTTACCGTATGAAAATAAGATGAATTTTGGTCACCCTTCTTGAGCCATTGAACCCGGGATTTCTGCTGCCAGTACACCTCCTCCGCTTCCCATTGTCTATTAAGCTCAATCTCTAGACCTCTAACAGTATCCCAATCAATCGGATGGGTCAGCTTATTCCTCTCAATCTCGGCCTGAAGGGTTTTGATATTACGCAACGAATTTGTAGTGCCTGCCCTACTCCAATCATATAACAAATGTCGGAGTTTCTTAAGCCGTTCCCATAGTCGAAACATAGGGGTGCCTTGGACCTCCTCTTTCCAGACGTAGTTCACCATAGCTCGAACCTCTGGATTCTCCGCCCAGCGGGCGTCAAAACGAAACAAGGGGCGACTATTACGGGCATACACCTTGTCCGAAAGGATAAGGGCACGATGATCCGACCCCTGATCCGTAAAATGTTTAACCATGGTCTCCGGGAAACGATCCATCCAGGATTGAGAGCAAAGAGCCCTATCCAATCTCTCCCGAATACAGGCAGCACCCATTCTTTTATTAGTCCAAGTGAACATGTCGCCCTGGTACCCGGGATCATGAAGTCCCAGATCCTGGATAAAATTTCTCAGACTAAGAGCTTGTATGGCATTCCACATTAACCCTCCATCCTTCTCATTTTCATGAAGAGTAGTGTTGAAGTCACCAAGGACTACAAAGGGATGAGGGAAGTGCTCACAGATTTCACGCAGCTGCGCAAGTTGGGACGCACGAATGGGCGCATTACAACTAATATAAACAAAGACCACAACATAAGAAAATCCAATTTCATTAATTTGAATGCAAATACAGAAGCTAGAATGAAAAAACACCGAAGCGTCAACTCCGGGGGACCAAGCAGCTACAAGACCACCAGATGCATCAATCGCATCAACAAAAAAACACTGGGAAAATTGAAAACCTAACCCCCGCATACGGCGGTTGACTACTCTCCGGCTCGAACGTGTCTCCGAGAAGAACACAAGGTCCGGTTTATTGGAATGAATCAACCCTAAAGCAGTTTGGAATGTGAGTGACGGTCCAAATCCCCTCACATTCCAGGCCAGAAGCCTCATTTATCACCCTGGGGCCATTCCCGGCTGGCTACCTCCACCTTTTCCTCACTGTCATTACTTTCCACAAATTGCTTTTTCGGCGTAGGAGGATTCCCTCCATCCCCATCCAACATTTCCAGCGGCCTTTTGCGGTTCCCAGAGTTAATATCAACAAAATTCGAACCATATTCGTTCAGTGTGCCTAGGGCCTCCTCGCACCGCTTTTGATTTTCTCCTCTAGAGACAGTAGGGATCGATGCCCCTGCCCTGAGATTTGGGCCATCTTTCCCCTCAGGCTCGGCGATCCCGTCTCCCTCAATGGCCGCTACCATTTTGCCCACCCGGCCTGATTTAGGTGGTTGAACTCGTTGGGCCTTGGGGGGAGGCGAGCGCCTCCTAATTTCAAAAACTTCTGCAGGAGCTGGGGAAGAATCCCCATCTGATTCTAGTAACCCTTCCTGTGGGCCGAAATCTGAAGCCACTAGTTCATCCTCAGGCAGGCCCACAATTGCTTCACCCTCTTTGTTTTGTTCATTACGAGAGCCCACCTTGCGCAGGCGACGGCTTGGACCAGCCACAGCCTCTTTTTTTTTCCTCAATCGGGCCCCTTGAACCTTTTCCCCCACCGCGTGGCCGCCTTTTTCCTCCTCTGGCCCCACATTTTCCTGGGCTTGAAGCCCCTTCGAAGGCATCTCTTTGGTAGGCAGCGAACTGGGCCGAGACCCATCAGCCACTTCCTTTGACAGCAACTCCTTGGTGGGCAACGATCTGGGCCTAGATCCATCCGCCACTTCAGTTGATCCTGCCTCCCACTCCTCTTCAGACTCATCCGCCAGGATAAGCCGCCGCAGCCGAGTTTGGGCAAGGATTGCATCTGTCTCAACCTGGTCCTCCTCATGGATCTGCCGCTTCGTCCTTCGTTTTTCTGCCGCCTCTACCACTTTCGCCGCCTTGCTAGTGCCGACTTGCGGAGATCGCTTCCCCTGCACCTTCCCCGCGCCTCGACCCAGCTGGATTCGCGGCGATGTCCGCAGTTTGAAAACCCGAGGGTTATCCCGCCTCCTGTTGACCTTCTTATCCCCATCTCTTTCCTTTTCTTTCTTGAGCTCCTGGGGGAGAGGGTTATTCTCATGGATTGTATGAGCAGGGGCATGAGTGTGAATTTGGCTTTGGCGACTTTCATCAGTGTAGCCGCCTCCCGCCATCCGCCCCTCCTCCTTCTGCCCACGAATGGTACGATTGACCCACACCGTGTTCCGCTCCTGCCTGAAATTTGAACCATCTTCCTCATTATCATAGAGCTTCCTGCCGAGTTTCTTCGTAGCCATGTGTGGGACGAAGCGCTCTTGTCTTTGGGGGGGATCAAAAGTGCAGTCTGGCTTCGTATGTCCCACTCGCCCGCAGTAGTAGCAAAAACTCGGCAAGAACTCGTATTTTAAGTTAACCCAGAATCTCCCCAGCTCCTCACTAGCAGCCATTATTTGAGATCGAAGAGGCTTGGTGAAATCGACGAGAGCTCGTATTTTGACAAAGCATTCGTTGGTGTCATTAGACGCGAACACACCAGATTCCAGGACGTTTCCAATAGTGCCATGGGCCAGCTTATGCCCTGTTTCGTGCAGCAATCGTCTTTGACGTTCCAAAGTTGCACGTGAAAGGGCGCTATGGCCAACTCCTCGAACGTCAGCTTCGTGATTTTTGGAGACCAGGAACGTAAATGCAGGATACGATCCATCACCACCCATGGGGTGCGTTTGAGTGCCCAGATCCTCGCCTCTTCCGTCGGTAGTCCTATCTCCAGGAGACCAAATTTTGCTACCGAAATTCGAACTTGGCCCTTCACTTGCCAAGCCGCAACCAACGCATCTCTGAGGTCCGCCAGGTTCACTGGGTGTTCCGTGAACATCCTACCCAACAGGGTCCGAGAAGTTCGAAACTTCACCGATTGGACTTCAGCCAATGAAAACTGGACCACCTGATCATCCGCAACATACGACATCGTACCAACCTGGAAAACAGGAAAGGGAACTATGTTATCAGCATTATGTTCATTTTCGCGGTCCAGCACTCCCTGTCGGTCCAAGGACTGCACCAAAGTGCCTGAGGGATTGAGCATGCGCGGCTCGGGACTAGAGGTTGTAATCAAGCCTGATCCTAAAAACAAGGGATGAGAAGAATCTCCATTACCTGTAGGATCCCCACGCGCTCGATTAATTTGAAGGGTCTGCTCCACTCTCTGCCTCCTCAAAACCACACTATTGCTCGTACGCAGGTCAAGCATGTTTGGCCGAATGGGGTTATATTTATACCCGAGAGTTTGATTGGAGCTCAACCACCTATGTGGAACGTATTCCTTAAACCTGTTCCGAAGAGTTGGTTTAGGATACGGAAATCCATTAAGAAGATTAGTATCAGATTTTTCCAACGTACTCTGTTTTTGAAAACGGGTAACATACTCCCTGATATCTCTCCCAGTAAGCGGAAAATCCGGCCAAAATCTGGCCCAATCTGCTTCCTTCCGATCCACACCAAGCAGACGCCCGCCGATGACAATTTCAGTCAATCGGAGCTTCAGGCTACCGCCGGCGACAAGGCCCCGCAGTTTGGGGGTCAAATTTACCAATCCTACAAAAAACGTAGGACGTTTAGTGTTTTCCCCGAAGGGTCGAGGGTGGAGCAATCGATCTAAGCTCTGATTTGAGACCACCTCATTACTAGGACTCTGAGTATCCCTTCCCACAGACGAATCCGGGCTCGGAAACTCACAGTCAATCTCCACCGAGGTGGGGAGCCAGAACCTCCAACCACCCCCTGTTTTGCTTTTGACTTTTTTTGGCAATGGCCACTGATTGGCATCAATCTCATCCTCAACTGCCTGATAATTTCGTTTTCGACTTCATTTCCGGTGGACCTGCGAGGCACTCGGCCGGCACTTGGAAAATTCTTTTCTCCGCCCGTCGAGGGCCACCATCCCCTGAGCCGCTTCACCGCCGTACCCTCCCTTAGCGACTAGGCCCGCCGCTTCACGAGACCCATTTCTCTTTATCTTCTGGTTTTCTAGGCTGGCGGCAAGGATTGCTCCGATGATCCGTAAAAGCAATCGGCCAAGAAAAGACCCGAAGACGAGGAGAGAGGAGAGAGTTCCTCTCATTTTTTTTTTTTTAATATTCTCTTTACTACACTACTTTTCAAAAACTGAACTTTTAGAAGTGTTTGCAACTGCTTCAGCTTTTGAAAACGAAAAACACTTATAAAAGTGAGGCCTAACATAGGCACTGTTAGTGAAATTTTTTATATAGAAAGCCGTACTGGAACCTTGATGAACTCATTGTAAGTTTTTCCCACTATCCTTTAGTTATATTGTTGTAGTGATAGTTAGAAATAATTTAGTAGTAAGACTTTCTTTGTCTTGTGGGCAATAACATTTCATGCCCATGTATTCTTACAAATGAACAAAATATATATGTCCTATAATTTTTTGCACAAATGTGTCCTTCAATATTGAACATGTAACAAACGTGTCATTATGTTGATATTTTTATTTTTTAAATGTTAAAAAATATTGAGAATAACTAAATCGAGACATTTTATACATGTTTATATATTGAGAATAACTAATTCGAGCCATTTTATACATGTTTATACCACATGTATTTGGTTGTTTTGCATGTTTGCATTGTCCTACGAGCCATCTTACGCTAGGATTGGTCTTGTTTTGGCATGTTTCATAATTGAGCAGGTAAAATGGGTGAAAGGATCGACAGTCAGAAGAAAGGGATCGAAAAGGGGGGGGGGGGTAAAACATGAAAGATGCACATATCCGATATGGAGGAGAAGATAATGGACAGAGACCATGAAGTAAGCAGATAAACCATGACCTCTGCAAAGTTCCAGGAGCTTTATGATAGTTCGCGGGCAGTGCAAGGATCACGGTTCCAGACCATGATGTTTACATGAGGACCGTCAAGTTTTCATAAAAATAGTGCACTTTCATCAGAGATCATTGTCTGCTTGTTGATGTCATGCACGGTGGTGAAGTCTGATTGTGAAACGTGCATTCGAGGCTATAAATAGCCAGCTACGGGGGAGAAGTAAGGGAGCTTGGTTTTTTAGATGGGTTTTTTACCCCAAAACACCCAAGGGGCGATTCTAAAGAGAGATCGGAGGTCAAGTATAACCAACAACCGAGTGTCTCATAAGGTAAACAAGTAATCAAACTATCAAATCGTGAGTCTCTAGATGTACCTTATTTCGGCTTAGGTTTCATTATCTAGCCAACCAAGAATAGTGATTAAGATTGAACTAACTACACTAACTTAACCACTACCTTAGTTAATTACAAGTGTTGGGTTCTCTCTTAGGCTTAAATCCCCCTAGCTCCGTCATTTGGATCGATATTGAGTATTACCATAGATTTTTTGACTCGATATTTCTACCGCGGAGAATACTAGATTAGATTGAACCCCCTGATCGAGTGCACCCAACCCCCGATCAAATTTCTACCTAGAGAAGCATACCGAACAACGGGGTAGGCAATTGAGGTGTTAACTGCTAATTCCCACGATTAGGCAAGACCCACACAACACTACCCTATTCTGCACTATGGACTTTATCACTTTCGTATGAAAGACACATAGTGAAGGATTGAACGTGCTCTATTCAACCTAAATGGATATTCTCTCTCATAGGTCAAAAGCTCAATTAACATGTAGTGGTGTCAAGATTCATGCAATTCATCATAAACATTAATCAAAATAGATAATAGGAGTTCATAATCCTAGGTCATGTCATATACATCAACAATCAACCAAAATCTAGACCTAGGGTTCATCAATCTAAGAGAAGAGAGCTAAGTCATAAAGAGAAAAGAGAATAAATAAAAAAACACAAGATCTTTATCTTCTAGGCTTGATTCCTTGACTCCAAGCTCAATCAAAGACTCTAATTCAACTCCAATCTCTCTCTCTCTCTCTCTCTCTCTCTCTCTCTCTCTAGAAATCGTCTCGTTGGTGTTTAGGGAAAAACCCACTCCAAAAACAAGTTCTCTTTTTTCCTCCCGTAACTAGCTATTAGAGTCACGAGCGCACGTGTCACGGTCAGACTTCACGACCATGGCATCAACAGGCAGACCGTGATCTCAGGTGAAAGTACATCGTTTATGTGCAAACTTCATGGTCCTCATGTAAGCATCATGGTCTGCGACTGTGATCTTTGCGATGCCCACGAACTGTCGAAAAGCTCCAAGAACTTTGCAGAGGTCATAGTTTCTCCGCTGACTTCACAGTTTATGTCCATGATCTTCTCCTCCAGACTGTGATCTGTGCATCTTCCATCGTTTCGCCCCCTTTTCGATCCATTTCATCTGACTTTTGATAATTTCACCCATTCTACTTGCTCAAGTATGAAACATGCCAAAACAAGACCAAACCTAACGTAAAATGGCTCAAAGATACAAAGTTCATTTGTAGAGTCTAGAATTTAAATGACAAAAACGTAAATAGCTGAACACCAAGATTTTCGTGGCATTTAGGAAACATTTCCTGGATTTAGACTGTCCTTTTATATAGTCTTTTAATTTGTGTCACTTTGGACATATGTCATCACAATAATGTTTCCAGAATTTAGACGGCCCTTTTACATAGATTCAACAATAAATTAATGCATATCAAACTCTAATAACCTTTTAGACTTTTACAAAGGTATTGAATAAGAATAACAAACTCTTTCTTCTAACAGATATTTTGAAGTTATACCGAATTTAGCTATTCATTATTATCAAATGTTCCCAAAAAGAATGAATTTAGCTAATCCATCAACCCACGCGATTGAGCAGGAAAGAGAGTGTGTCGCACAACTAAGTAGCCTCATTACCACTGCAACACAACTCCCACAAAAGAAAAGCTGTACTGAGCGTAGTTAAGTTGAAGCTGAGGAACATGGCTTTATGACCGTTGGAAAAGAGAACTCTCTCTCCATGTACCCAGTTACCATTTACTACGTGACAAAAACTGGAAAAAGGTCTCAGCTTTGGTCTCATTTCCCTACAAACACACAACCCAGTGCCCACCACCACTCCACACAAAAACAGGACACCGCGCCCTGCCCTCGACCCTCGTACACTTTGTCCTTTATATTAATAATCATGTCTAATTGTCTAATTAAAAATTAGGATTTCTTAATTAGCAAAGTGTCAAAACCAAACAAAGTGTCCTATATAAAAAAAAAAGATGCCTCCTTTCCCCTTCCCCAAACCCATCACATACATACATACTCACCCACAGACCCTTCCTTGCCTGCACCCACCACCGTCATTCATCTCCCCTCTCTCTCTCTCTCTGTCTCGCTTTCTCTAGAGATCTCCACTCACTCGCCTCTTTCTTCTCCTTCTTCCAAACCCCAACTCCTTTGAGGCGAGCTCCTCTTTTAATTTCTGTTTGCCTCAACTTTACGGCAACCAATCATGGCTGTTCTTCTGCCCTTTCTAGTCATTTTCATGGCCATAGCTGGTCGCTCAAGTGAGTTCTTTTTTCCCCTTTAGAAAAATCTCGATTTAATTCATATGGGTTCTTCTTTCAGATCTCTGTTTTATGTTCTTTTTTTTTTCTGTGACTTTTATGTTCTGTGAGGATATAAAGTTTTGATCTTTTCTTCTTTTCTTTTTGGGTAGCTGCAAATTACTGTCTCTGTAAGGATGGAGTAGGGGAGCAGGCTCTGCAGAAGGCGATAGATTATGCCTGTGGAGCTGGAGCTGATTGCACGCCAATCATTCAGAATGGAGCTTGTTTCCAGCCCAACACTGTGAAAGACCACTGCAACTACGCCGTGAACAGTTATTTCCAGAGGAAAGGTCAAGTCGCCGGTAGCTGTGATTTCAGCGGAGCGGCCACTCCTAGTGTCTCGCCCCCCACCGGTATGACAAATTTCCTCAACGAACAAGAGAGAACTTTGCAGAAAATTTTCCATGTTCACAGTGACTGATTTTCCTCTTTTCCTTGTTCTTTGTTGCTGGGTAATCTTTCAAGGTGTTGCCTCTACCTGTGTTTTCCCTGCAAGTCCCGGGTATGCTTCTTGTCCCTGATTTTGATGATCTGCTGGAAACTTTTGGTTAGGATGTTTAGCTTCTGTTCACTCTTTTGCCGTGGAAGATCCTTTTTTGTTTAAGACGCCTCATTTTACAACACATGAATTTGTCAACCTTAAACTATTTGTCATTGATTGGAACCGTGTAATATGGAGCTGTAAGACGGTTGTTTTATCAGATAATCAACTAGGAAACATAGGAAAAGTTAGATCTCAGGAGCTGGAGGACACTCATCAATTCGTCATCCCCTCTCTCTCTCTCTCTCGTGGTTTGGGAAACATGAGCTGTCATGATGCTGATATATCATAAGTTTGCCCTCCTTTCCCCCATGATCGTTCTGTTTGACATCTGTTCTCCACATGCCAGGATAGGGATCCACGAATGTGAAACATATTTATTTTTGTTCTGTTTAATACAATGTATATTCCCTTTGAGGTTTGTATTTGGGTTTGGTAGCTCATTAACATTCATGATATGGCCAAAGCATCAGGTTATCCTTAGTTAAGTTGCCGTTTTTATACATTGAGTTCTCCTTTCTTTCCTTCTGTGGAATTTTGCAGCAATGCTGGAACCTCACCAACAACAAACCCAGGAGCAACTCCAGGAGCAGGCACCGGCATGGGTACTCCAACTGGCACTGGGACCGGGACCGGGACCGGCACCGGCACTGGCACTGGAACTGGAACTGGAACTGGAACAGGCACTGGCATGGGTACTCCAACTGGAACCGGCACCGGCACTGGAACAGGAATAACTCCAGGAGCAGGAACAGGAACAGGAACATCTCCATCGGTGTTTGGGACAGGGTTAGGTCCAACCGGGAGTGGAACTGGGATCGGAGACAGCAGTGGTGTGGATTCCAGGAAAGTTAGTAGCTTGTTCATCTTTGCCTCCTCTACTTTGACCCTCTGGGTATCTGGGCTTCTCTTGGTATGGGGTTACTAATTGAAGATTAAAACAAAAGGTAAAAAGGTCTGGAAAGTGTTGGGGGGTTTGATGTGTGGATGAGATTTTGCCAGAGCATCTTATTTTGGAAGGGGGACTGAGTATAGAGGTGGGAAGAGGAGAAGAGAATCATCTAGAGCAGCAAACCCCACTAGGGTTTTTTTTTCTTTTCTTTTTGTTTTGTTGTTACTTTTCTTTGATCCTTTTGAAAACCCAAGAAAAGTTATGATGGGGGAATTTGATTCCTTATTTGAGTGGGTTGTGGGCTGTGGATGGCTGGCTGTTGTTGTTGTTGTTGTAGTAGTAGTAATTGTCGTTTGGACTTTTGGAATGAGGGTTTGGGATGATGAGGGAAAGGGAAGTAAGGTGAGAAGAAGAGAACCTCATCTCTTCTTTTCGTTGCTTCCTTTTTAGATTTTGTGTAAGAAAAGCTAAATTCCCTGTTGCTGTATATCTAGCTAGAGAGAAGAGGCTGGCACTACTTTGTGGAAGCAGCAGTAGTATTCTTTATCTTAGTTTGCCTTTTTTTTTTCCTGGTAAGTTTTCAATTAATCGAATGGAACTATTATAACTCCATCTGTAGGCTCTTTCCCTTTCTGTCTTTTCTCGTCTGGTTTTGCCTTTTTGGTTCTTCTCTCAGTTCGTGGGCATGTGACATGCTTGAGATCATACATGTTCAGAGCTTTTAACTTTTCCTGGTTACGAATTTACTACACCTGGGTAGTTTTTCTTTATGGCAAACCAAATTTACTGATTCTGGTGAATACTTGGAAGGTAAATTACGTGTGCTTTTTGGGATAGGGAAAGGCATGGGGACGGTTGTACCAGATGACGCAATTGACAGGTGAACGATCCACTGACGTAGATGTATTGGTACTGATTTGATGATTTGCAATGAACCAACCTTTGAGACTGTTGCGGTGTGATTAGAATCGATTAATCGTTATGAAACGCCAACCACAAATTTGTATACGAGGCAAAACAGATGATGATTGGTACGAGAAGAAAACATCTGGTCTTGGCAGTTGAGCAGCACTCATTTTATCTGTGATTTCCCAAACAGTTGAGCATCGTCTAAAGTTCTTCCCAAACCCCATAATTGGAAGCCTATTTGGGCTTCAACTTTGTTCCAATTCATGGTTTTTATCTGTGATTTCGAGCAACAATGTGCGATTATCAGGCTCTAAGACATGTCATATAAGTTAAGTTCACAATATTCACCAGTGTAGTCAAAATCGCGCTTTAAAGCGTAAAATTTACGTTTCTAGGGTAGGAAAACGTTTCAAATCACCAATAAAATCGTTTTTTATTCAAAATCGGTCAAAATCGTGGTAAAATCGTTGAAATCGGATAAAAAACACGTTTTTAGACTGTTTTTGTACGATTCCAAGCAAAGGAACAAAACCTTCTCCTCTCACCAAAACGACGTCGTTTTTATTTTGAAAAAAAAAATCGGGCTGCCAAAACTCAAAAGGGAGAAGGGCTGTGCTGAACGTCGTTTTTTATTTTGAAAAAAAAAAAGTCGGGCTGCCAAAAGAGAGAAGGGCTCGGCTGAACCCTAATTCATTTCCATCTATCTCCTCCAGCGCCGCAGGGCTCTCCCACTCCACCCTTCTCGTCATCGGCCGCCGCTTGTCAACAATCGCCCAGCCGCCGCCCTTCGCCAATCGCCCGGCCTCCTCCCGTCGCCAAGCTGCCGGCCCGCCGCTACCCCTCAGCGCCTCGTCGCCCGCCGCCGCAATAATCCGTCGCCCGTAGCTCGTCGGCCGGTGCTCTTCGCCGTCTGCTGTAGCTGGTGGTCGTCGCCCACTCGCCCGTAGCAAGCCTCCAGGTATAAACTATAATTCTGTCTTTTTGTTTGTAATTTTTCCGTGTAGGATTTGATTTAGAAGTTGAGATTTTGTGTTTGTAATTTTTATGTTTATAATTCAGAAGTTGAGATTTTGTGATTTACAACAATTATTCTTTGTTTTATGTAGGATTTGCAATTTCAATTATGTCGAGTGGGGGTACTAGTGCAAGCAATACTGTATCCAATTCTAGAGCGAAGAGAAAAAATGCACAGGGCAATCGTCTAGATCCCGGTTGGCAGCTTGGTATAGATGTACTCGGTTAATGGGCAGAAAGTGAGATGCAAGTATTGTGATAAGGAAGTATGTGGTATATCTCGCTTCAAACATCATCTTGCAGGAACAAGAAAGGACTCTATCGCTTGTGTTAGTGTTCCTGATGAAGTTAGAGAAAAAAAGTTAGAGCTACTTGGTGCAACTGAAGAAGAGAAGGCGACTAAGGCAAGGAAGCTACATGATATCGGTTTTAGTCATGAAGGAGAGGGTAGTGGAATTGCTAATGAAGCTAGTGGCAGTGGCACTGGAAAACAGAAAACAATAACTACAGTTTTGAAGAAAGAACTCCGGGAAAAGGCTTGCAAGTCGATATCAAAATGGTGGTATGAAAATGCTATTCAATTCAATGCAACTAGATGCGATAGCTATCACCAAATGTTGGAAGATACAGCTCGGCATGATCCTGGCTTTAAGGGTCCTTCATATCATGAGATTAGGGAGACTTTACTGAAAGAGGAAATGCAGGAAGTGGAGAATAAATTGGGGATCTTCAAAGCTGAATGGAAGGCGGTGGGTTGCACAATAATGTCTGATAGATGGAGAGATAAGAAACAGCGAGTTCTATGTAACTTTTTGGTTAATAGTCCTCGTGAAACTGTATTTCTTGAGGCTGTTGACACTTCTGATTTTTCGAAGACTGCTCAAAAGGTGTTTGATATGTTAGATGGAGTTGTTGAGAAGATTGGGGAAGAAAATGTTGTTCAAGTTGTGACAGATAATGCTTCAGCTTATAAGGCAGGAGGACAATTGTTGATAGAAAAAAGGAAGCATTTGTTTTGGACACCTTGTGCGGCTCATTGTTTGGATTTGATGCTAGAGGATCTTGCAAAGCATATTAAGGTGCACGAGACCACAATTTCCAATGGTAAGAAGATCACCTATTTCATTTATGCAAGAACAATGATGATTGCCATGATGAGGGAGTTCACTCAAGGGAAAGATTTGGTTAGACCTGCTGTTACAAGATTCGCTACAGCATATTTGACATTGGGATCTCTTAATGACAATAAGGGTTCCTTGATGACAATGTTTTCTTATGAGAAGTGGAGGTAGAGTAGCTTTTCTAAGCTTCGTGAAGGAAAAAGAGTTCAAGGATTTGTACTTGGTGGTAGATTTTGGAAAAATGTGACAAACTGTCTTAGAGCTGCTCAACCTCTTGTCAAGATTCTACGCTTGGTTGATTCTGATGAAAAACCGGCAATGCCCTTCTTATACTCTAAAATTATCCAAGCGAAGGAGAAGATTAAAAGCAACTTCAACAATGTGGAAAGAAGGTGATTTCGAGTTTCCTTTTCCTATTAAGTTATCATACAAACCTATATTTTTATTGTTCTAACTTCTAACTTATAATTTGTCTATTCTCTATTGTATATACTTTATCTAGATACAAGCCTGTCTTGAAATCATTGACAAAAGGTGGGAAGATCAAATGAGTAGACCAATTCACTATGCTGCATATTGGTTGAATCCTCAAATTCATCATTCTCAAGGATTTAACCATAATGATCCAAAGGTGAAAATGAGATTGTATGAGTGCATATCTAGACTTGCAAAGAATGATGAAGAGAAGTTTTTGATAATGGAGCAGTTGTCTGTATTTCTTCATGCTCATGGAATGTTTGATAAGTATGGTGCAATGCAATTAAAGGATAGGCAACATCCAGCTGATTGGTGGATCTCATTTGGAGATGATGTGCCAGAGCTTCAAAAATTTGCTCTCTGAGTGTTGAGTTTGACTTGTAGTGCTTCTGGGTGCGAGCGTAATTGGAGTGCATTTGAGAGGGTAAGTAATAAATTGCCTCTATTTTCTTTTCATCATATCATTCATTCTTTTTACATGTGAATATGTGGTGATGTGAACTCTTTTACTTGTAGATTCATACTAAGAAAAAGAACAATTTGCGTGCACAAAAGATGAATGATCTTGTGTATGTTATGTGCAACAACAAATTGGTGGGCGGGAATGCCAAGAAAGCAAGAAGGCTTGAGATTGACTTTGAGGATATAAATTCTGATAATGAATGGATTTGTGCTAGTGATAATGAAGAAGGAGAACCACAATCTACAGATTTAGAGGTTGGTGGTGAGGAAGGTGGTCATACTATTGAAGGTGGTGATGATGCTATTGGTATTGATGCTCGAAGAGATGAGGGTGATCATGAATATAGTAGTCCACTTGATGTTAATGGCAATGGTGGTGATGATTATAATGATGATGATTTGGATGCAAATGTGGAAGCCGATGAATTGATGCAGTTTTCCTTCTATCATTTGTAACATTTGTGTGCTTTGATTGTGAGGACTTGGATTATTAAACTCATATGTCATTATGTAAACTTAAACCAGCTTGTGAGAATTTGGATTCTTAACTCGTTTGTGGCTTACGATTTATGTTTATGACCTTATTATTAAGATGTTATGAGTTTGTTCTAGTTTAGACATGAATTGCAGGTATTTTTTCTTTTATCTAAACTCTTTGAACTCATATTTTACATAGTTTATGTCGTACTTAACATTATTTTAACTATTATACAGGATGCATAAAAAACTTACGCTTTTACGCTTTGATTCGCTGCTTTTCGATTTTACCCCTTTTCCGCTTTTAGGTAGAATCGCGCTTTTAACTGCATTGATATTCACTATTTTTTATAATGGTACTTGTTGATAATAATATTAATTTTCTTGAATTACGCAATGGGGAAGAAGTTTACTGGAAGCAGAAGTTCAAGAATAATTGGCTACACTTTGGTGATGCCAACACGGGCTACTTCCACGCCACTGCAGCTCAACGGCGAAGTACTTCGGGATGAAGCAGGTGGAATCCATGTTGAGGAACCAGCCAAGAGTAATGTCTCTGTTTCTTATTTTAAAAATATGTTTTCATCTAACGGGAACCCTTTTCACTTCCTAGTGACAGCCCTAGGCCTACCGAGAAGGGTAAGCTCGAATCATAATTTCCTGCTAACTTCTCTCGTTTCCCGGGATGAGATTAAACAAGCATTGTTCAGCATTGGGGCATCCCAAGCTCCGGGATCCGACGGATTTACAGCAGCTTTCTAACAAGCATATTGGGAAATTGTTGGTAATTCGGTCTGTGTGGCAGCCTTGTCCTTCTTCAGGTCGGGTAGGCTTCTTCATAATTTTAATCATACGCTGATCACACTGATTCCTAAGATCCCCAATGCAGATTCCATGAGACAGATGAGACCAATAGGCCTATGTCAGGTCTTTTATAAGGTCATATCCAAGGTGTTATCTTCCCGATTGAGTCAGGTGCTCCCTTCGGTTGTGAGTGATTGCCAGAATGGGTTTGTCAAAGGGCAGGACATCTCCAATAACATACTCATTGCCTAGGAAGTAATGCACTTTCTCAAGACGAAGTCGGAAGGTAGGGACAAATGGATGGCCCTGAAGCTAGACATGAAAAAAGCATATGATCGGGTTGAATGGGGCTTCCTATTTGCTGTTATGGAGTCGCTGGGCTTTGCGTCGGACTGGATTAAGCTAGTCAAGGCTTGTGTCATGACCGTTTCCTTCTCTATGATTCTCAATGGCAACATACATGGCTACTTCCGACCGGAACGGGGTATCCGTCAAGGTGATCCTCTATCCCCTTTGCTATTTGACTTTTATACAGAAGCTTTTTCCACTATGATCTCTAATGCTCTTGCTGCCCAGCAACTACATGGCCTTAAAATCCATCGCTTTGCTCTAGTTACTTCACACTTATTGTTTGCTGACCATACTTATTTATTTCTGAGAGCTTCTTCCTCGAAGTGCAACCAGCTTCTGCATTTGTTTAACCTTTATGAGGCGGCTAGTGGGCAAAAGATTAATCTTCAGAAGTCCAAGGTACGCTTTAGTACTAATGTTTCAGCCCAGGAAGGTGTTGCGTTGGCAGCCACTTTGGGTGTCGATTCAATTGGAGAATTGGACAAATACCGTGGATTATCGGCTCAGATCCAAAGGTCCAAAGTTCAGACTTTTCAGTTCATAGAAGAGGCCCTCACTAAACGCATTCAAGGTTGGAAATCCAAATCTCTGTCGCTAGCAGCAAAGGAGGTAGTGATCAAAGCTGTCAGATCTGCTACACCTGTGTATGTGATGATGTCTTTTCGGTTACCAGCCACTTCCCGTCGAAGAATGAATGGACAACTCTCTAAATGTTGGTGGGCGAGTCAAGACAAGGAGAAAGGGATCCATTGGATAGCATGGCCAGCAGTTTGTGTTAGTAAATTCTGTGTAGGGCTTGGAATTCGGGACTTCGATCTGTTCAACGTTGCCATGCTGGCCAAACAAGCTTGGAAGATCCTTATGTCTCCCCAATCGACTCTTGCTCGGATGTATAAGGCCAGATATTATCCCCATTGCGACTTCCTCACTGCAACGTCATGGATTCGTCCTTCTTAGGCATGGCAAGGGGTTCTGGAAGGCCGTAAGCTCTTGCTGAAGGGACTGCATTGGCAGGTCGGGTATGGTACAGCCAAACGCATTTTGGAGGAAAGATGGATACCTTCTTCTCCCCCTTCCTCTCCTTCCCTGCTGTCTGGAGTTCAGATGGGCAATCCGTTTGTGGCCTCACTTATTCATTCGATTTCTCGGACTTGGAATAAGGAGTTGATTACTACTTTGTTCACTACTGATTGTGTTAAACTGATATTGTCTATTCCTTTACCTGCTACTCCTCGTCCTGACAAGTTGATATGGCATTTCTCTGACTCAGGTCTGTATACGGTAAAGACGGGATACCACCTGCTTTCGGACGAGCGCTCGGAGATGTTCAACAAACTCCCTCCTCATCTCGATACACGTTTCTGGAAAATTCTGTGGAGTTTGCCTATTCCCCCCAAGTTAAAATTCTTTTTGTGGCGGGTTGTCCGGGGGTTTCTGCCTTGTTTGGATGTGTTGCAGTCTAAATCCTTAAGTGATTCAAGCTCTTGTCCTGTTTGTTCTGGGGAGTCGAAAATATTGCTCACTGTTATTGACTGCAGGGTGGCCAGAGAGATTTGGTATCTTGCTGGACATGACCAGGTTCAGCGGATAGTAGCTAACATGTCTCCCGACTTGGCATGGGCCCATATCTTTAACTCATTGTAGCTGAGCAAAGTGGAAATGGCGGAGTTGGTGTTCTTTACTTGGCGAATATGGAAGGCCCGTTGTTGGTCTTGCTATGACCGTGTGCAGTATCTCCCAGGCCCTTTAGTTCGGAAATTTCTACAACAGCCGGATGAATGGAAAGCAACAACTAACTCCAGCTCGCGTGGAGGGACTCCTCATGGCCGCCCCAGACCTGTTCCACCTTCTCCATCCTGTCCAGCAGGGGGTGTGTTGATCCACATTGATGGCGCAACTCGACATGGAGAGGGACGCAGCATAGGCTTTGTTGGGTTCTCAGAAGCAGGGTCACCCATTTACGCCTGTGGCAAGTATTATGAAGGTATATTTGATCCCTTTTTAATGGAGCTCCTAGCGTTACGAGATGCAATGGATTGGTGCTTAACCCGCGACATTGTCTGATTTCCATTATTTATTATTCAACTCTCTGTAATTCCCTATCCATTAAATAGTTACCTAAGTTAAAAAAAAAACCTAACAAGATGACCGTTTCAGACTTCTAAATCTGATATATCTTAACTCTTTCTTCTCCACTTCTTAAATTATTTATGGCAAAAAGAAATGGATGTTAGGGAACAGGAACACTATCCATGCAAGTTGAGTTTCTTAATTTGAGTCATGAATAGGGGTGTTCAAACGGATTGGTTACCGTGGTAATCATATTAACCGGTAGCATTCGGTTAATTTGGAGAATTTGTTTGGTTTGGTTAAACAATTTAGCTTATTTGGTTTAGGTTATTTATACTTCCATGCAACTAATCAAACCAAACTTTCGTGATTCCCTAATTTATTTCCTTTTGCACAACAAACAAAAACATTATGGGTAAAAAGTTAAATGGGCCTGCCTATTTACTAAACCAAAACATTTTGGACAACTACTAGACTTTAGGATTACGTACAATACCGTGACAGTCACCTCAAACTATGTATAGTTTAAGTGTTTTGTAGGAGAACTTTTAACTTCGTGATGAGAGGTATTGGTATGTGTTTATGTTAAGAGGTTTGTTGTAAGCTAACTATATTAGGTGCAAAGATGATGAATGATGTATTAACTCGAATGATGATGATAATCATGGATGGTTAGTCTTATTATTATGGGCTAATACCACTATAACAACCGAACTATCAACAAAATGCCACTTGTGTCCTATTATTTCTAATATTTCATTCATGTCCTGAACTATTATTCTGTTAGTGTTGACCGGCGTTGACCGTTAGTTTTTAACAGAAAGTCTAGTCAGCATTGATGTGGCATCTTACGTGGAATTTTAAAGCCAATTTTTATTTAACAAAATAATAAAATTATAACACTATCTCACATCTTCCTCATTCCTTCTCCTCCAATTCTCCACCGGCGACGAGGACAAGAGGAAAAGGGATCTGGATTTTGGGCCAGGATTTGGCGCCCACTCCCCAGAGTCGCCGCCGCACACCACCACGGAATCAATCGCCACCACCTGCGATATTGCCAGGGCCTCCACAGGCGAATGAGAAGGGAAGGGGAGCGAGAAGTGACGGGGAATATAGTCGGGAGGGAGAAGAAATAGCTATGGCGTCGACGGGAGCTTATTGGACGGTGATTTTGATATAGGATTTCATTCATCAAGTCTTTGTCGTCCTATTCCCATATTGCAAAGGTCCAAGATGCGGCACCGCTACGTACAGATCTGGAAGGGGTTGGATCGGACTTCGATTGGAACCCGACCCTTCAACTTCCCTTCGCCGCTCCATCGATGGGGGCAACCACCTCCTCCTCTTCGCCCATCCTCTACCACTCGGTCAATGGTGACTCCCCTTCCCAAACCTATTGCTGCTCCGATTCCTAGCAAAAAGTTCCGTCACTAGCCTCTCTTCCTAGATCGACGGCGCCTGAGAGTCCAAAGCTTAATCCTCCCTCTTCATCGTTTCCAGGCGGCCCCCAAGAGAACGATTTTTTCGTGGAATCAAACGGAAAGGAAGTCTGATCGGCACACTAGAAAACGATCATCTCCTTCTAGGGATTCTGATGCCCAATTAATTCAGTAGAGAATAGAGATTTGGGTTTGCGATTCCAGATCCAAGAATCTTTATCGATTCAAGGGATAGGCGAGCGTTACCCAACGCCTGCAGACGAGATGAGCCACCAGGGAGGGGTGGTGGAGATGGGGTATAGGGCTTGAGGAGGACTAGAGAGTCGGACAACGACGGGGAGGGCGGAGCGACGACACCCCCTATAATTTTTAGTTTTATTTTTGAAATATAATTTTAACATAATCTTGAATTATAAATGATGTGGCAATGACGTGGCGCTTATGTGGACGACACAATTTTTACCACGTCAGCAAAAGTCAACAATAGTTTGACTTCTGTTTGGTCAACCGTTATTTCTAACGGTTAACGATATCGTCAGGATACAAATGACAAAAATTATTATACGACGGGATATGAAAGGAATATTAGAAAGAATAGGACACAAGCGACATTTTGTTGATAGTTCGGGTGTTACAGTGGTATTAGCCCTATTATTATTGCTTATATATAATGATAGTTGATGATAGTAACAACATATGGTTATGTTTTATTCATTTATAGGAAAATTGCTTTCATGTAATGTTATGTTATTTGGTTTATCCAATTAACCAAACCAATTTAACTTTGGATTGGTTAATTTAGTTTTCGTGTTAATTTGAACGGTTTGGTCAAGACATTTTATTCCATGATTAATGAAATTTAAGCTTAATTGGTTTGATTATTACCATGGTAACCATTTAAACACCCCTAGTTGTTGGTGAAGTCATTCGTAATTCGTGAAAGAGGCCAAATATCATATTTTTACCATTTTCCATAATAAGTATTGAGGTCCCTAATAAGAGAGAACAAAAGGGTGGGTATCATGTGGACATGAAGCAATCAACTTTTCCGGCGCGCAATTATTTGGATAATTTACCAATGGGAACTGTTAGGGGGTATTGGGGTGACTAAAAATTAAAAGGCCCTACCATGAGCATCAATGCAAAGGTTGATGGAAAGTTGAAATGAAATTATAAAAGGGCCTTGACCAAATTCATCACAGCAAGATCCTTTAACTTGCTTCCTTTCCCCAACCAAAATATATTTGGCTGGAGTATTTTTTATTCCCATTCGTAGCTAGCTTGGAAAGTGGGAAGGTACAGAAAAAAGCGAAATGGCAACTCATCATAGCTTGAAAGAGGTTCTTCTGATTCCCTTACCAGCAGACCAACCAGCACATATGATATCTCTACTATCCTACCCAGTTTAGCTAGACCAAAGCTTCCTGTGGTTCCTGATTTCCTTACGCAGCAGATCCACCTGCACATGGGTCGAGTTCTCAGCAGTTACATGACTGAACAAACATCCATGGCACAGCTGATTCAATCTGCAACTGCGCTATGCTTAAAGTTAGAGATGATGTTACCAAAACCAGTCAATCACTGGAGGGAGGAAACAAGTTGGGCCTCCTTTCTGGAGCAATCTTCCTGGTCCTGGACAAACTCCTTGATCAGTCTGGCAACAGAGTCGGGTTTCTCCACGTGAGGGATGTGGCCGCAATTTGGAATTTGGCGTATGATGGCATTTGGTAGCTCACAGTGTAATCTCTGCAATCACAGAATAACAATGTTAGGGGTAATTTGTGAAGCAGCTTTTCTGAAGAATATATTGCATCAAGTAATTGTTGAAATGTTGAAAAATATAAAACAAGTGTCAGCTTGCACTAACCACTCCTAACTTGCTGCTGATGATCTTATCATCTTCCCCCCAAATGATCAGTGTCTTCTGATTGATCTGGAATACACCATAACCACCGGTCAATTTCGAGGACGACCGATACCATGCAGCATCTATAGACAGAAGGATAGAACAAAATACCTTTGGTATTAGACAGGCAACATCATAGCCACCACTGCTCATGAAATTCACAGTTGCATCAGCCCACCAGTCATACATGCAATGCAAACGGCCGATCTGAGGAAGAAAGGAAGGAAAGAAGAAAAAGAAAAACCAAGCAGAAGGCTAAAGTTAATGTTCACTTCTCTTATAAATGTCTCTTATTCCAGAAAACCATGTTCATACGGGAAGGGGGGCTCACATTCATCCAGTCTATGCTAGTACTCAACGGTAACTTTTCAAAGGCGAGGACATTGACAAACAAGCGGAGCATCACACTCTTCAATAGAGAAACCTGATTCAGAACGAGTTCTTAATTTTAAATAAGCTAGAGAGGATGATCAACGAAGTGGATGGCAGAAAGCATTTGGCTTCTAATAACTTCTCATAGATTCAATAAGATTGAGAGTAACAGTCCTACCCCTGCATATGCTACTGCCTTGGGTAGCGTTGCCATGCTGCCTGTCCCTTCAACATACACACTTGCATCAATCAAAACCAACTTTTCAACCTGTAGAGAACAACCGAGAGTGTTTTCATCTGAGACAGAGTTCCATCTTCCATGGATGCAGCAATAGTTCATTTCTTGTTGCAAACCTATAACGATCTTCTGCATATACTGATGTGCAATAACTTACGCTACACATGGAAAAAAGAACCTCGGACTAATTAACAGAAGAATTATGTTAGAGAGAAGGGTTTACAGCTTCAGGATACTGGACAGCAAAGTCAATCGCTATGGCTGCACCGAGGCTTGGCCCGACCAAAATGACGGGCTTTCTAATGTAGGTCTTCCAAAGCTGCAGTTGGTACAAATGAAAGACAAAGTATGTTTACACATACGGATAATAAACAAACCTAAGAGGATGAGGAGAAGCCTTCATCAAATTAAATTACTCCTCAATCAAACAATTTTTCCCCCCATATTAAGCAAGTACCTGATACAGATGTTCCCTCTTTGTTTGAACATTACACGGTGGAAGTTTTTCTAGGAATTCCATCAAAGTGCCAAAAGGAGAAGAACAAACATGGTTGTCAGTTGTTGCCCCGTCACTGTAGAACTTGAGCTAGTTCAGAGTAGAATCGAGGAAATACAGAACAAACCTAAATCTGAGAAACCCCAACCAAGAACATCAACAGCCCAAGCCTCCAATCCAGCTTCCTCAAGCCGTGGCAATGTGTATCTCCATTCTAAGCATGAACTGAATTATTGAATTTCATGACCACTCTTTTCCACAGACGACACATTAATCAGAAACACAGAGTCTCTTTGTTTCTTCTTCTTCTTCTTTTCATAATCAAATCGGTTCTACATAACAAGAAAAAGGAACCTGTCAAATCCATGGAGGAGAACCAGCGGGCTAGTAGTAGGCGTGCTCTGAGTCGACGACAATGGCTTCACACAACTGCTCATTATACAATCCCCCGAAGACCCAACCTGCAATTTCTCACCCACCCAGAAACTAAATCAGCTGCAATTCAAAGAAAATGAGGAGTACTAGAGAGATGGGAACGGAGACATTACCGTGACCGGGAGACGCTGGATTCTGGAAGCGAGCTTTCGTGCAGATGGGTCTTTGATATTCTCGACTTCTTTCGGCAGAAAAGAAGGGAAACCCAAACCCTCCACCGCCGAGGAGACGGAGAAACGTGGATGGAAATGGGTGGTCTTGGTTCTCCAGCTGCTGACGATGGCCGTCCCCGGCGTTGCGACGGCGTTGGTGGCGAAAAGCAGCATTAATTAAGTAGGGATTCAGAATCGGAGGCTGCCGGTTTGCAGTGTGCGATAGTCTCTATAGGGTGTCGTCTGCTTCTGGACAGCGGAGGTAAGGAGAAGAGAGGAGAAGCGTGGCCGGGGAGGTGAGATTATGTAATTTGTGGGGCGGGAGGGGCCATGTAAGCAAAGCGGAAAGAGCTGCTGCTGCTCCAGAGAGCGGATATGGAGGATGTACTTTGTCTGTTTGTTCGTTTCTGTACTCTCTTTCCGTTTCAAATATAAGATGAGATGCAGCACGCGACTCAAACAGCGCGTGTGTTTGAGATGCTCCTGCATTGCAAACGTTTGGGCTCCCGCCAATTTGAGTTGAGGGGCTTGAGGGTATATTGGCTCCGGAGGCCCAGAATAGCGAGAGAGAGTTTATGGTACAAGTTTAGTTTGCACCTCGAAACATCAATACTTTAGAATATTATAGAAGAGTTCTTATTAGATATATGGTATGTTTGCTATGGCGAGAGAGGATGTAACTCAAGCAACAAGAAAAACTACAAAATTGTGCGAGAAATCCATAGCAATATGCACTTGCTAGCCAACGAGGCTATGGATAAGATGATGACAGTCTACATACTATTGAGTAATAATTTTTTTTTTAATTTGGTTCTTGACAACTACTAATTAGAAAATTTATGAAATTTCTAGGTCTAAAATTGAAAAAAATAAAATGATAATTGACTATGCGTTCGTTTCAGCCCAACAACCAAAAATATAAACTTTGAGTTTATCATGGACTCTCAACTGAGATGGAAAATAAGAGATAGAAAATATGAAAAAATCAAAGAAGTATATGAAAAAAGGAGAACATAGGATTTGGTTCCGTCAATTATGAGACCACTTTCGTCCTATTAGATGGGGAGTGAGAGAATTTCTTGTCTATACTATATATTATGGCAATTCAAAAAAAAATTCTTGCCACATAAGCACTTGGAGGATCCACAATTTGCCAAGTTGGACAACTTTTTTACAAACAAAAAATTAGTTATTAATGTATTTATGGAGCTACCTCTCTCTTCTTTAATATTTCCATTTCTTTTATCTAATTATTCTTTTTCATTTATCCATTTATTCTTTTATGTCTTTAATAATAAGTTACATGTTGATAAACTTAACCAAACAAACATAAATAATAATTTTTTTAAATAAACAAAATATAAATAAGAAAAAAGAGAGTGACATATATCATATTTATTTAAATAAAAAGTATCTGATTAAACCTTATGAAATAAATTTTCTACTCATTTTTAATTAAATTCAATGATAGGTTACATTTTGATGAAAAAATAAACAAACATACACATTTATTTAAATAAAAAGTATCTGATTAAACCTTATGAAATAAATTTTCTACTCATTTTTAATAAAATTCAATGATAGGTTACATTTTGATGAAAAAATAAACAAACATACACATAAACAATTATGTTTTAATCGATTAAACCTAAATATATATGAAAAGAGAGAAAATAAACATTTGTCATTCAATTACCTTTGAAAAATAAACTAAATTACTTTATATTTTGTTGCAATGAAACACTCTCTTTTTCGTACAATATATATATCTATAAAATAAAACAGTATTATTTAGCAAAATGTCATAGTACAATCTTGATCGAGTAGATACAGTTATTTATTTAAAAAAATTTCTTATTCATTCAGATCATGTTCTACCTTAAATTCCTCAAATGAAGAGGAATCGCATGTGCAATAATTTGATAATGTGACCTAATCTATATCTATCTATCTATCTATATCTATCTATCTATCTATCTATCTATATCTATATATCTATCTATCTATCTATCTATCTATCTATCTATCTATCTTCTATCTATCTATCTATCTATCTATCTATCTATCTATCTATATCTATATCTATACTATATATTATGGCAATTCAAAAAAAAATTCTTGCCACATAAGCACTTGGAGGATCCACAATTTGCCAAGTTGGACAACTTTTTTACAAACAAAAAATTAGTTATTAATGTATTTATGGAGCTATCTCTCTCTTCTTTAATATTTCCATTTCTTTTATCTAATTATTCTTTTTCATTTATCCATTTATTCTTTTTTGTCTTTAATAATAAGTTACATGTTGATAAACTTAACCATACAAATATAAATAATAATTTTTTTAAATAAACAAAATATAAATAAGAAAAAAGAGAGTGACATATATCATATTTATTTAAATAAAAAGTATCTGATTAAACCTTATGAAATAAATTTTCTACTCATTTTTAATAAAATTCAATGATAGGTTACATTTTGATGAAAAAATAAACAAACATACACATTTATTTAAATAATAAGTATCTGATTAAACCTTATGAAATAAATTTTCTACTCATTTTTAATAAAATTCAATGATAGGTTACATTTTGATGAAAAAATAAACAAACATACACATAAACAATTATGTTTTAATCGATTAAACCAAAATATATATGAAAAGAGAGAAAATAAACATTTGTCATTCAATTACCTTTGAAAAATTAACTAAATTACTTTATATTTTGTTGCAATGAAACACTCTCTTTTTCGTACAATATATATATCTATAAAATAAAACAGTATTATTTAGCAAAATGTCAGAGTACAATCTTGATCGAGTAGTTACAGTTATTTATTTAAAAAAAAATTCTTATTCATTCAGATCATGTTCTACCTTAAATTCCTCAAATGAAGAGGAATCGCATGTGCAATAATTTGATAATGTGACCTAAGTTCATATTAATAATATTTGCTCTATATCATGTCGATTGAGCAAGCTCTATTGAGGTTCAAGTTGTATGCTAAGAAATTTTCTTTCAGACTTGGAGTTATCTTCGATGATTATAAATCAAAATTTTCAAAATGACTTAAGTAAGATTGTTGACGAACTTTGACTTCATACCATAGGATGAGACACAAGATTCCTTGAAAAATAATAGATGTGAAGGTTAGAAAAATCTTTGTTCAGAATCTACGATAAACATCACGTTTCATCAACTACTAACATAGGCATTTACCAAATAAAGGTTGACAATTTTTAGTAAGATCGTCAATTGGTATAAACATATTTATCCAGCAATCAAGTATCTTTATCCAATAATCTCAACTCTTAAAATTGGTTTTCAGTTCGTCTAGACTGGAGAAAAACGAATTAATATATGTTGTATAAGATAATAAGTTATTGCAAATAATCAAATGAAAAACACTGATATTGTTCAAATGATAAGACATTTTAAATGCACTTAAAATATGTGTGTATTGGAGACACTCTTTATCAATTATTAATATATAATCGATAAAATCTTTGAAAATTACACATTCAACGAACATGTTAAGACAAAAAATCCTCGATAGTGTGTGTGTGAGTGCCTTAGATTGAGATTCTAAGTCTACATATAAACAATGACCACCGGTTGAGGTTTAGTATAAACTTCAAAAATTAACAATGGATACATATTGTATAATATACTAAATTTAAGTGTCTGGATAAAAAAAAAACAAACATTCAAAATGGAAATGAGTCGAGATTAGAGAATTTAGTCATCATGAGGGCTACAGTGTGTGTCAAGTTTCAATATGGATGAATAAATCCAACAATGAAGTATCTTGACTAATAATTTATCACTAAAAAGTCGTAATTTTTACAACATTGGTCGAGAGTTCGTCCAAACTCGAGGATCATGAATGTGTATTGGATTTCCAAAGGACCTAAAATCCCAATCCCTTTCGATGGCTAAAAAGCTCTGATCACAACCATAGGTGCTAAAGTAGAATGAAAAAGAAGCAAAAAAAACAAAAACAAAAAAGAACATAACCTCTGATAAGATGAACATAATAAAATCATATCGAGCTATGATCCCGTCATCCCTACCTTTTTATATATTATATATCGAACAATAGACAACCCCAATGGTTCTCTGGCGTTATGGGGGTAAAAGCGAGATCTCTATATAATTTTGAGTGTAATACACACACACACATACATGTATATATACATGTATATGTAATATCAAGGTATACTATACTTTTTATTTAACTCAAGATACGATAGAAGATAGGTATTACGAAGTATGTGCATAAATTAGAGGTTACAGAATTAGGGACTAGAGTTCACCTATTAGAGGTTAGGGTATAGTATAATGCCCCAAAAAAATCCGGTTAATTCGGGTCTAAATAGTAAAACTCAATGGTCGTATGGTAGTATGAATGCAAGAGTATAATGTACTCCTATCGCACTCTAGCTTGAACTATATATATGTGCGTGTGGTTTAGGTTGGCGTACACTAAATATTAGTGTTTTGGTTGACAAATTTTGACATAAGTCCTAAATGGGACGTGACAGCGACATAATTTATGATTCGAAAACGAAGCATCACAAGTGAGTGTGCTAAATATTGAAAATTTCAATATAAACATACTACAAATTCGGTAACAGAATATTTAAAAGATCCAAAATGATTTAAACATATAAATTATAAAATAAATCTCTCCGGCCAACGGGCGGGTAAAAGGCTGGTTGTCTTCTTATCTGAGATCGACCGAGAGATAGGAGATGGACAATGCAAAATTAGCTAAAAAAAAAGGTTGGTCTTAGTACAACAAACAAACATAATTGACCTCTTTAGACAAACATTTATGACGTTCGCAAGAATTACGAAAAGACTGCTTAAATAAAATAAAATAATCATGAAAAATTCGGCTAAAAAACTCATGTTTCTCTTCTTTGGATGAATCGACCTGAAATTCGCAAGAATTCCAAAAAAAAATTGTTTAAAATAAAAAAATCACAAAAATACGATAACAAAAAAAAATCACATTTGACCTATTTAAATTAGTAGCCCTAAAGTTCACAAGAATTTCAAAAATATACATCTTAATGGATAGTAATTGGTTGAACCTCCGTGTGGGCCATTTCAATTGTTTGCACGACCTAACTAATTACCCCATTCCAAGCTAAGTATACCCCGAAATGGCGTTGCTAATATAATGGCGACCGAGGTCGTATTCCATGGGTTTATATACCCTAGGTTACTTATCACGTTGTTATTACCCTAGGTTCGTCATGCAAATGGTTAACTATGTTGGGTTTGCAGAATAAGGTGTTGAACCTGCTAAATTGAGGGTTTCAATGATTACTCCGCCTCCACCTAGTACGCTCCCAGAGACCCATTGTCACCTCAGTAAAAGCTCACATACTAAGGAATGATCACTAGTTTCTCTTAATAGGTTCAACCTATCATGCACACTAAAGCGATGGATTGATGACGCTTGCGTCATCTCTAGCATTGTCTCATGAAGACATTCCTCGAGTACGGTCGCCTTGTCCACTAAAAGGAACCCTAAGATCATTCGTCTACCTTTAATTATCCTTAAGGTGCTCAAATCCAGTCTAACCATAAAACTCCACCTAGTTATGAGACTAAGTTGTAGGCTAGTAGTAAGAGCCGGAGAGACAAGCCACGACATAATCAAGCATAAATGAAGCATATAATCACTAAAACAAACAAATCAATACACAAACCCTAACTCAATCACATCTACATTCTAGGGTTTGGGGGGGGGGGGGGGGGCAGGGGCGAATACATGGAGGTTTAGGGGTGTCCCGGGACACCCCTAAAATTTGGAAAAACGATTATCCAACTTTCGATAGTAGTTTGTGTATGGGTAAAAAAATTTAGTGATAGTGGGACACCTTTAAAATATGGAAAATGATTATCCAACCTCCTATAGTATTCTGCATATGGGTACAAATAATATTTAAGTGATAGGGTCTATGTGATTTGAACTTGGGAACATTGCTACTATTAGTAAATATAGTTTCAATTAGACTACAACTCATTTGTAGTTATGTTTTAGATCAAAATATAATAGTAAAAGACTATTCTTATCCCCGATTATTTTCAAAACCTAACAGATTAAACCCAATTACGGGTTACCCTTGTCTAGTAGGATATGTCACGAGAGATGTGTTGAGCAGTGTATACACCGAATGTATTTTACCATTCTTTCATAATACAGAACATGTTTGAAATTTTATTCTAACTTTTACTAGTTGAATATTTTCATATTTAATAATTATTTGATTTAATTTTTAATTTAATTTTTTTTTGAAGAGGACACTCCTATTTAAAATTTCTGAATCCGCCACTGGTCACGACCACATGTCACAGCAGACATGATGCATTTTCATATTTAATAATTATTTGACCACGTTTGCGGGTTGAGGATCACGATCGTGAACAGTAACCTTGAACTTTAGCAGGAGACAAAAAAGAAGGTAGATAGTTTCCCTAGTCGAATAGCAGACATGATGCATTTGGACATGAAAAAAGATCGCGCACGGAACACAAAGATCACGCACTCGATCTTATGAAGGAGGTCCCTATCTCGGAGCTTAAAGATGGATTCAAAATACGTCGTTTCAGGCGATTCGGAGATGTTCCAGCTGGTCACAGCGATGACCATCACGTCACGCCCTAGAGGCCTTGACCGCCATCAACTTTCTATAAAACCTCCTCTTGCTGCACTTTTCACAGGGGAGCCGACCTAGAGAGAGAAATTTAGGGTTTTGGCTTGTTTTTAGAGAGGGAAACACCTTGGGAGAGTTTAATTGAAGATCCAATCCACCCAAGGAGCAAGAAGAAGGTGCAGACAAGCAGGGACAGAGCCAGGATTTGATGTTTAGGCGGGGGGGGGGGGGGGGATTTTTTTTGTTTACAATTGAAAAAGATAATTATGTGAACAAGTTATTAAATTATATGACAAATAAATATATGTATATATTAATGTTTGAAGAAAATTAATATAACCTAGTCATTGCTTCTCTAGCTTTAATTGTGTTTGGGTAAGTCGCCATAATCTTCTTTACTAGCCTACTTGAGCTTCTACGCTGGGTGTCGCAATCGTCCCTTCTGGGTTGGGTCGCGTTCGTTTTGGAGTCGCCATCGATCTTACTTGGAGTGGATCGAACACTCTTTGGTCGGCTCCAACCTTATGGTCAAAACCGAGACTTGGTCTGCGGTTAAGGGATATGGGTTCGGGAGTACGGTTACGTGTGGGGAAGTTAAGCAAGAGCCCCACATCGCCCTAAATCGGTACTACTTAAGTTGATAAGTCTTATATGAGTTGGGTGTATTTTATGTATTTTTCGGGTCACACTGGACCGCTAAAGAGTTTTATCGTATTGGTTTATAATTTTGATTATACGCATAGTGGCGTTCATTTCAAAAATAAATTTGGTTAGTTAGTAGAACTCGAACCTTATCGGTTGCCTACGTAACCGTAATACGAGATCAAAGTCTACATAGTTCATTAGGAACCTTGATAGTTTTAAAATATTACTTTTATCACGTTACACTTATAGTGGTTCTCGTATTAAGGATTTTGTTAACTTTGATAGTTTTAATTATAACTTTTACCACGTTCTACTGAACGTAATTCTCGTATTATAATTTTGTTAAAAAAATTTAGTTTAGATTATTATGATGCTACGAAAACAAATGCAAGGATTTTAGTAATTAAGAAGAAATTTGATGTATTAGAAAACAAGCAAAACTAACTTAATCCGCATTCGAAGTTTCGTACTAAACAACAAAGCTAAACGGAATGATTAGATTTGCGCATGATGGGCCAGCAACCCAACTGGTTTAGTTGCCAGGGGTAGAGGGTGTTCGTTCTCGAGAATGGGGGTTCGAAACTCGTTACCTACAATTTTTGTAGATTATAGTTTTAGAGCAGAGATGGGGGAAGGGCAACTTCCTAACTTCCCAAAATTACGGTGACAAGGCCGCGTAAATAGTTAGAAATCCTAGGAGTAATTAAGTTATTTGCGGGTAAGTATAAAAGCATCTCTTAAGACGTAAAACCAAACCCTAATCAACAAACCCCAAAACGGCCGCCTTAACTCCTCTCTCCCTCTCACCTCTCTTTCTCGATTCTTCTCTTCCCGAAGAAAAAAACTAAAAAATGAAAGAAAAAGTCGCCCTCTCTCACTCTCGTTTCTCGTTCTCTGTTCTCTCTCGATCCTTTATAGGAAACTGAAAACCCTAGCCAGACTAAGAAGGGTCGCCGGTCGTCTCCTTCCCTCTCTCACGTTCCCTCTCCTCTGATCTATGTAGGTACGAGACATGCACGACCTTTTAATTCTGGTTTTTGTGATTTTAATTTGGGTTTAATTATTTTCTTTTTGTTTCAGTCGAGTGGAGGAGAATAAGGGGCTCGTTGGATTGCCGGCGGCGAAGACAGAGAGAAAGGCAGCTAGAGTTATTTGACCTCGGTAAGCTTTTTGCTTTTATTTCCTTGGGTTTACTACGAATTTGAAACTGATCCTGAACTCTATTTTGTTTTGGTGCAGGTTCTTAATCCAAAATAAATGTAGGTGAGTTTTTTCAAAACCTAGATGATTTGGCTAGGATATTTAAATTTGAAAAAATAAGATTAAGACATTGTTTGGTTTATTACCTCGGATTTGACGGATTACCTCGGATTTTAAATAAATTTTTTTTGTGCATGCGTTTGGTTTGTAATTTTAGGTAGATCTGGGTTTTTCATGAGCATAGATTTAGCTTTTTGCTAGAGGATAACAACTAGCTAGAACTAATTAATCTATATTTTGTATAATTTGTGAAATCTGTTTTTTTTTTGGGCGGTGCATGGCTACTCTTAGCCATGGTGGAAATGAGTCTACTTTTATGCTATAGAATGCTACTTCTGGTTATTATGAATCAAAGTGCTTGTGATTCATCCATATTTGGGTTAGGGAGTGATTTTTTAAATGGTTATGGGTTTGTAGATCTGAAATTGTGATATGTTGATTCTTGTTGGATGAAGATCTAGACTAAACATTAAGGTTTCAAAATGAAAAAGGGTTTTAGATGATTTCTATGACCTTGTCAGTTTGATGGTGTTCTAATTATCGGGTTTGATTATGGTATGACGGATATGGAATTTCTATGTGTGTTGTATTAGCTACTTTTCTTGACAAAAAGGGAAAATCTATGGCACAAATAGTAGATCTACGGAAAGCGATTAATCACTATAAATGGAAGGTAAGAAGCTAAAATGGAAAGCGAGTAGCTAAATTTAAACGAAATACTCCTATGTAGTGTGCATAATCAATACTAGTAGAAGGAAGACTGTAATAATTAGTGCTCAACATACACCACTTCAGTGGAAATGAGTGAATAGATTAGCTAGTATAGCATAATAATAACATAGCTGAAAGTGGCAAAAGGAAACTTATTACAAAGGTGAAATTTCATTATGAAAAGAGTTAAAGAGTTACAAAGCTGACCTGGTGCGCTTCTTGCTTGAGAATACCCTTTCTTCTATGATCTTCGGCACCTTATGAACATAAGAAAGTGTGTGTATATTTATTTCTGCTTCATTTTTTTCCTCCAAAATTGTCTCCCTTACAATAAGAGCCGAAGAGCTCTAGTTATAGCTAAAAATGTATGCCACGTGTCAACTTCCGAATGGTCCGTTCAGAGGCTGTCTCTGCAAATTGCTGCCCATCCTTTCTTGCATTGCGAAATCGCCTGCAGATAAGGTGGGTTGGGTAGTTGGCTGAATAGGTCTGGGTCAAAACCCACCATCCTCAACAAATGGCCCCAATTTGGGCCAAACGTGTTACTTGGGCTTTTGGACTTGTGTGTAAACTTTTGTTTGGATCGGAGTTGGATCTGGGTTCAATCATGGACTGAACATTCATTCCTTTGTTGTAGGTTCGTGGCAGGAAACAGGCTTGAAGTGGTGGGCCAATGCTTTGGGTTTTGTTATTCGAAGTGATCTAATCTATTTGTATTTGCAATTTGGATATGTGTAGGAGAGTTGAGATTTTTAGCAATTTCATGTAACGGGACATTGAATCGGTTAATAATACCTTCAATCCTTCCTCGCAACCCAAGTTCAAATCATAATCCATGTTTTTCTTAGCTTGGCAATCCGCCATAGTGATAAACATGAAAATATTTATGTTCGATTCAGATTTGGACGAAATATGGTGTCTACACCGGATATGAAGTTTTAGGGTTAGACAGGTATGTGCCATCAAGCAAATTAGGGTTAGATGAATTTTTAGGATCTTATGATGGATGAGGCAACCGTACCCCTGCTATAAGAATTCCTTCCTAGATAGAACCCGGGAGGAAACCTCGGTGTGGATGGTGGATAGTAACCATTGAAATGATCTATGATCTTAAAGCCCTAGATACGATAGCCTAGATTGAGGTGTCTGACATGGGTTTAGGAGATCCGTAATCAAAGGCATATGGATAACCACGAAAGCCCACAGAAAAGAGCTCACTCACCACATTCTCTTAACCCTACTTGACAACCATAGCTAGGAGGATTTGACCCTAAGCAACCGTCTCATCTCTAGCGATCTCCTAACCACTTGGTTGGTTGTTTATTTTGCCTTTAGGAGTAGATTAAATTAGACTTTTACCAAACCTTTGAAGCGATTAGATAGTAGTTTGGAGCGAACTAATAATAATCTTAGGCTTCTCTTGAAATACGATCGAGCCACTTTACTACAACCTTAGCTAGGTTATGTTTGGCTTAGTTAGGATTGAATAGAGAGTGTGCATCAACTTATAAATTTAAAGCTCGATCACGCAAGCGGTCAATGAGAATGGATGGCCTTACTGGAGCATTGGGACTCAACTTCTACCTAGTGTTCGCCCACATGAAGGATTCCTCCAACCCGACCGACAAGCAAGTCGATAGCTTCTACCGCCAGATATGTCGATCGGAGTTGGCACAGATGGGATTCGATGCGGGGCAGACTAATGTCACCACACTAGGACCCCTGTGGCACATCGACAACCTCCTCCTCACTCGCTCTGGATTTCCTAGTGTCTCCACTTCGCACAAGCTCACCAAGCGCGTGCCCTACTGCATGTACACCATGCTCCTAGGATTTCACCCGATGCACCTTGGGTCTCTTGTGATGAACACCTTCTACAAATTCCATCTTGGTCCCCTAATCACTAGGCCGGCGTGCCACTTCATGGTGGATCTCGTTGGCCTGACAGACATCAACGATTGGTTCGACTCATTCTGCTTTGACAGGGACATACTTCACAATGCCAATCTTTTGGCCCAGGCTGATGGTAATGAGTGGGTTGACGGTCTTTCTCTGCCGCCTAAGGATCACGAGGAGTATGATGATGATGGTGAAAAGAATGATGATGCAGATAACGATGATGATGATGATGATAAGGAGGATGATAATGTGGGGGACAAAGCTAATATGACCTTAGGTTTTGAAGGGGCTAGTGGTGATGAGGGGGACCGCCCGAACAATGCTTGACTGTCTCTCTGATTCGGGCCTGATTGTGCACATTTTATCCCTGTTTCCCTTGGGAGTTTATGGCATTTGTGCTCCTAAAATGGTGGTTTTACGCTAGGTTTCTCGTGTTTCAGTTTGTTTCAGGATCTAACGGGTGAAACCATCCCTGGAGTCGAAAGTTGGAAGAAAAGGAGCAAAGATCGGGCAAAGAGAGTGATTTAGGCCTTGTTCACGGTTTCCCATTGGAGTTCACGGTCTCCTAAGGCCGTGAACTGGAACCATAAACCGTGAACCGCGAGGTGTCCAGGAGGATTCTAGAGGTTACTAACGACCAGGCAGTTCATGGTCTCTAAGACCGTGAACTTTGAGTGGAAATCGTGAACCCTAGAGAGTGAAGCGGTGCATTTTGGAGACGACACTGTTTTCACGGACGCCGTGAGGAGTTCATGACCGTGAACTGAAGCCGTGAACTGAGCCCGATCCGAGTATATAATGTGAGCTTAAAGGAAGAGAGAGGGAGAGCACAAGTATGAGAAAGCTTCCTCTTCTTCAGATTTTAGAGAGAGAAAGAACGAACCAAAGAAAAAAAGAGGCTAGGGTTTGCTCCAAGTGGTGAATTGGGAAGAATCTCCCCAACTGAAGATCAACAAAAGATAAAAGGAGAGTAGAGGCATCACCATGATGGTTTCTACTTCTTTCTTTTGTGTTCTTCCCCTTTCTAGCATGGAGTAGTTTCCTTTTTCACTTGGGTGTTGTGAAACCCTAACTATTTGCCATGTAGTTGTTGTGTGAATTGAATGATTGTTTATGGGCGTTGTTTAATTTAATGATTGAGGTATTTTTCATGACTATTGTTCATGTTTGTGCTTGGCAATCTAATTGGCCATTCTAACCTAGGTTAGAGGGGAAACCTCCCTTTCCAAAGAGGCTCAATTGAGTTGGGATTCCTTGGGCTTTTCAAGCCACCTACCTAGGTTAATGTAGGGCAAAACTCTATCTTGAATTAAACGAATGGGTTAATCGCGATTAAGTCGTACAACCATCGGTTTGAGGGAGAAGGTAAGTAAACCCTCAATTGCCTAAACCAAGAGGGCTACTCTAGTAGCCTATAATGTATCTCTTGGTTTGGCAATTGAGAGTGTGGTTTTCGACCATAGTTGCAATTCCTAGTGGTTCACGATTGCCTCGCCCATAACGACCCATTCAAGTCCACAAGCTATGGTAGTAGTTAGGGGGAAGCAACACCCGAGTGATCCTTCTCATCTATAACTTTCAAACTATTTACCTTTGCTTTGTTTTAATTTAATCCTTATAGTTTTCAACCAAAAACTAATCCGCTAGATAATGTTTCAAAAAATTGAAGTAGGGGTACATGGGCCGGCCCGGGTTGATATTTAAACATACTTGCCCTATATTGCACCCATCTAAGGTTTATACTTGGGCCTTAGGTGGGATTTTGTTGTGATATTCGGGACGAGTCACTCTCACATGAACTCTTACCCGTCGGTTGGTCCGCAGTCAGCCTTCTGGTAGCAGCTCCTCTGCATCCCCCTCTTAGGACTTCTGGGCAGAGTAGTTTCACTCTATGTTCCTTCAAGGTGAGTAGCTTCTCAGCCGCTAGACCCAGTTTGAGGATTACTACTGATGAGAAATTTGAGGCGCAGTACTTGGCCTAACAGGTGGAATTCAGGACACGCCTCAACCTTGAGCAAGAGGCTCGTCACTAGATGATGGAGGTTCAGACTACCTCGTCCAGCAAGCTCCGGGGAGCTTCTAGTCTTTCGGACCCCATAGGTTAATTCGCCCCCAATCGCGGTGTCTTCTTCTGATCCACCATCACCGAACGGTGGGACTAATGATATGATCATTAAGGGAATCCGCTTCACCGGGCCTTGGACCACCAACGACTGAGCTGCCTTTGTTTCTCTTTTGTTTTATTTTGCCCCTTTGAGACTGAACTATTTTTGTGGGGTGTTTTTCTTTTCTCATCTAGAGCTTTCAAACCATTTACCTTTGCTTTGTTTTAATTTAGTCCTTATAGTTTTCAACCAAAATCCAATCCGCTAGATAATGTTTCAAACAATTGAAGTAGGGGTACATGGACCGACCCGGGTTGATATTTAAACATACTTGCTCTATATTGCACCTAGGGCTGCAAACGAGCCGAGTCGAGTCGAGCTTCTGCTCAGCTTGAGCTCGGCTCGTTTATAAATTTTTCAGCTCGAGCTCGGCTCGAACTCGAACTTTGATCATCCGGCTCGAGCTCGACTTGATTAAAAATAATCCAGCTCGAGCTCGGCTCGATAAAACTCGATAAATGATCATTAACACAGCTTGTCAAGCTGAGTACAAGCTCGGCTCAAGATGAGCTCGATTTGAAACCATTATTTACTGGAAAATGTGTACAAATAAGAATATTATAAACTAAAAATGATAAAAAGAACACTAGAAACTAAAAATAACATCTAACTTCCATACACATACTTATTAACATGATAATTTTCATGTTCAAAAGAGTAATTAATCCTTCCACAAGCTCTAAACAAGCCAGCTCGCGAGCTTAGCTCAACAAGCCACTGAGTCAAGCTAGCTCACAAGCTTATCAAGCTGAGCATGGTCTAGCTCAAACTTGGCTCATTTACTAACGAGTCGGCTCGCGAGCCGGCTTGTTAAACAACGAGTCGAGTGTCGAACGAGTTTTTTCCGATTCGAACGCCGAGTTGCTCGCGAGCGGCTTGGCTCATTTGCAGCCCAAATTGCACCCATCTTTTCTTTTGGTTTCCTTTTGACCTTGAGACTATTGGGTATGCTTTGTTTCTAACATGATGTGATCTAGTGGGTCTTCTGTTCTATTCGTGTTTTAGAGACTGGTCCGCCTTCCAATCTTCCTCAATACTAGTCCACTCTCCAGTCCTGCTCAAGTCATTTCTCACGGTAACATTGTTCCTCTTATCCTTCCCTCTTCTCCATTGAGGGCAATCTCGGTCTTAAGTTTGTTGGGGGGCTGTTAATTGTTATTTATCTTTCACTGAATGGATGTGTTTGTATGCTTGGAGCCTAGTCCACTATCCAACTTTTAAATGGCTCCAAGTACCTTGTTCCTTTCAATTTGCCTGCTCAGTATGCTTTGAATCACTAGTCTTCCTGATGATATGCAAACTAGGGAGGTCAGTGTAGCACTATGAAGGATGTTGATGCATGAGAACTCTCCTACCTTGTTCATACTGTGTTGGTTTGTTTTGTGAATTAGTGGGTTTAGCACACTAGATTTGTGTTGTATCGATGTCTCTCTCTTTGTGTTTTTGGCTCATGCATCGTGTTCGGGTGCTCCAAATTGCATTTTGGAAAAGATACTAGTTGATCTTTAGTGCGGTATTCCTACAAGGTGATAACAATTCCTCTCTTGTACAAGTAAAATTTCTACCCATAGAACTAATAGCATACTTGAGGATGTGTTTTGAACAGGTAAAGCTTCTAACCACCCTTAAATTCATTTACCTTCCACACAAATTGAGGTTAATGAGTTAAAAGAAATACTCTGACAAGTGACAAAGATTCATAAATTACTCTTGCTCTGTAACATCCTCACCCTCATAAGCATAATTATGCCATAATTATGTCATTAATGGCGATAATTAACATATCGTCCCTTAAGCCGGGAATCAAGTGATTAGGGTGGTTTAAGAGGTGAATAAATTAATTTGGAGTTTAATGAAAATTAATCAAGTGGATTTTGTACGAAAATTATCTTGGAAGATGGACTAAAAAGTAAAAAATGAAAAGTTTTTGGGGAAAATGGTAAGGCTAGAGAGATAGGACCATTTGGCCAAAGATGATTAGTGGGAAGGAGAAGGGAGGAGAAATTTCTAGAGGCTTGGGCTAAAATTTCCATCACCAAACCCTCTCCCTCTCTTTCCCATCCTCTTTTGGTTCTTCTTTTTCTCTACACTCCCCCTCTCCACAAACCACCATCAGCATCCACCACCACCATCTCCCATCATCCAAAATTATGAAATTTAAGGGAATTATGGAAATCTTGGGAGCTTCAGGATGTGGAGAGTTCTTGAAAAGGTAATAAGTCATGGTTGTATCATTTTCTTCCTTTCTCCAAACGTAACCCTAAACCCTAGGGAAGGTTTTAGGAATCAAACTTGGATTATTAAGATTTTTTATGATAATTATGGTAATGATGGAATAAAACTTGTATTAAATACTGGATTATAAATAATGTTTGAATATGTTACAATTCAAGGAAAGAAGGTTAGAGTTGGTTATGGATCAAGTTGTCAAAGTTGCCAAAAAAGGGTTCTTGTGACCATACCATGTTTGATGATGAAACTAAAGGTTATTCAAATTTGTGTGTGTATATATATAAATATTTTATCATGAAAATTGATCAAGAATCATTGGTTTGGAGTGTGGAATGGATTGGATCAAAGGAAGGGGAGTAGTGGAAGAGGAGAAAAATCCGTTTTGAACTTTCAACTTCAATTGAGTGTCAAACCCAAAAATCTTACACCAAATCGGTAGAATTTTTTATATGTTGTATCTCTATAAATCTAGTTTTAGTAGCAACAAGAATCAATCGTTTTGATTAATAATTGAGTGACATATGATAAGAATGGTGCATGGGGGTAAAATTTCACGGGCACCGTTTGAGATTCCCGACCGGGGATCATTGGGGGGGGGGGGTGACTGCAGAATGGCTCCAGAGGGACCCCGGGCAGGGAAGCCAAATTCCCAACCGGAGATCAATGAGGAGTGCATGGGATTTTCCTAAGGGTGGGAAAAATGCATCTTTTGACCCAAAACTCGCCCACCTTGACCCCTATATGCAATTATATAAGTACATGCTTGCTTTAGATTATTAAATGTTTGTTATATGGTTGATTAAAGGGAACGAGAAATCGGAGAGGCATTCAAGGGCAAAGGACTTTGCGAATTGGAAATCAAATTGTGAGTAAGTTCTAACCTAGTAGCCTAATAAATTTAAGCATGATATTTGGGTCATGAGCAGCCCAAATACAAGGAACTGACTTAGAAACGGTAAATTGATTGATGTGATTCATTGAGGTTATGGTGTGTGTGTATGTGTGAATGAATCGGTGAATGGTGGTTGATGATAATCACCATGATTATCTTGATGATGATTAATAAGATGATGATGGTGATGTCAATGATATGAGAAGATGTTGATGATTAAGGGAATGATGATGAGTATGGGAATTATGGTAATGAAGTTTGATGATTATGATAATGATGAAGATTAAGTGTTGTGAAGTGAGATTTGTTCTTTCATGATTTTTGCTCATTTGAACCCCCGACAAGTCACGCACAGGAAGTAGAAATTGATTATGTGATAAGTCCTTAGTAAAGACTTGAGTGTATGATCGGCTTAAGGCCAATTGCCCGAGTCATGGGAGATTTTTCACCGATGCCTTAGGTCGGCAGCGGGGGAGGAGCCTAGGAATCAAGGAGCAGGTGGAAGAGGAGGAGGAGGAGGCGGTGGGGAAAGAAGCTAGGTTTTGCATGGCTAGTTGGAGGGAATTTGACTGTTGCATAATGCATCATGTATGTGTGTTGTTTATTGTGTGTATGTGCCTCGTGTATCGGGGAAAGTGTAATTGATGTTATGATTGATGTTGTGATAGATGATATCATTAAACTGATGTCATACTTGGTGATTTATGTGATGATTGTATCGATGTCATACCTCATAAATGATGTTATTATGAAAACTGATATAGTACTTTGGGGGTGCTAGAGATTGGTGTAATGCTAGGGGTGACATCGTGATTCCAAAATATTATGATTATATTAATGGCTAAATTACACGGTTGGTCACTCGAATTATATAAAATTTTCAATTTTTCCACTCGAATTATTTTTCTTTTTTATTAGCCACTAACTTTACGATTGGTTTCACCGTTAGTCACCGACCGTTAGTCTCCGTTACCGCCGTCAGATTTTTTATGACGTGGCAAACAGAACTGCTGACTGGACCGTTAACTAGTGACATGTCAATTTTTTTTTAAAATATTACATCTCATTCTCTCCTCAAATAAAAATTTAAAATAAATAAATAAACATTAAAAAAATGACGTTAGATTTTTTATGACGTCCGATCTTCAACTCTTCACTATCGTGGAGCTTCCTAATCTCGTCCAGCCCGACGATGCACCACCTGCCGATGAGGACCAACAGCAGCGGCGTCACCTTCTCGGCGGTTCCCATGACATGGAGCTCATCATTCCAATTTCATCTTGCATTTTTTCCCAAACCCGACTCGTTCTCATCTGTCAAGCCCGAATGGTTCTCCCCGCAGCTCATCGCAATAGGACCTTTCCACCATTCCCTGAACGCGCTCATATTGATGAAGACTTTCCAAGCTCAGCGCATCCATCGTGGAAGACTGCAAGCTCTGGCGCCGGAAATTCGAGCCTGCTACGACAAACACTTGACCGTCACCGACGACATCCTCGTTTGGATCATGTGCATCAATGGGCCCTTCCTGATCGAACTTCTCACCAACGACGGGAACATTTTCAACTTCAAAAGTTCTTCCTCCACCGACCGCCGCCGCATGCCGCTGGACAAATCGGAGATGGGTAAAATCGAGATCTCTGTTTTGGTTTATATAATTAATGGAGTTGGGTAAGATTGAGGTCTATGTTTTGGTTTATATAATTAATGGAGCTGGAGAATCAAATTCCCATTTTTTGTGGTGAATCGAAACCTCATTCATGTGTTGCAACAGATCTAGAGCTTGGAAGAAGATCAGGAGGAGGTTTCATCCTAGCACGCGACCATTTATTCAAAATTGAAACCGAAAAAAGAGCTTCCAATTATCCCGAACTTACAAATTCCCGGCCGCTCTTGGTGAACTCCTACCCAACGATCCTGAACTGCCAATTGGCTCTCGACAAGAAGAGCTCCAAGGATTTAATAGAGTTTTCGGCGAGTTGACGGGAGATCCCGGGAACCGTCGGAACGGTGACGCTGCCAGTGATCCTCATCGGCGGGAGGTGTATCGTCAGGCTGGAAAATATTTACTTATTATTTATTTTTATTTGAGGAGAGAATGAGGTGTAAAATTATTTATTTGTTTTTAAAATTGACATGTCACTAAGTAACCATACAGTCATCATTTCTGTTTGCCACGTCATTAAAAATCTGACGGCGTTAACGGAGACTAACGGCTGGTGACTAACGGTGAAACGAATCGTAAAGTTAGTGGTTAATAAGAAAGAAATGTAATTTGGGTGGCAAAAGTGAAAGATTTATATAATTTGAGTGACCAACCGTGTAATTTAGCCTTATATTAATTATGAATCTAGTTTAGAGATCACTCATTGGAGGGGACGTCTCACTCCCGTTAACAAATTTCCCCTCTTGGATACTAGGTAGTAGATGTACGAGCTTCGGGACTCAGCAAGCTCAAGGATATATATATCATGATGAGGTGGTGGCGACTCGAACTCCGACATGATGTGTACATTTTATTTTGAGGAGAAGTGAATCTTCTCCAGGGTCATGCATGTTTTAAATATTTTCAGGTTCGAGTTTTGTAATGTAAAAAATGTAAGATTCTGGATGTTTTCGAAGTTTGTAAATTATGCATGGTTTGAACATATTTAAAGATATGTTGTATAAAAGGGTGTTGTTACATGCTCAACCAATAAGGGTCGACTTTGAAACTGCAGGTTAGAACCCCACCAATGAAAATGAATGGAAAAGAAAAAGAAAGAGTAAGGAAAAGGGGTTCTTACATATCTAATGAAGGGAAAAAAAGAGCACCTGTCAAGATGAGTCCATGGTTTTGTGTGTTTTGAGAGTCTCTGCATCCACCAATAATCTGTCCCGAGTCCAGTACATGGCATAATCCTGACTCGGGACTAGAGTTCCCACCGAGGCAGTTAGGTGATGTCTTGTGTATCAGTTGACCTCTTAAGTTTCTAAGTGGTCTAGAAACCCATTGTCGACGATCATGATTGTAGGTTGCTATGTAGGTCTAGTGAGCTGCATTGGTTTGAGTTAGTTTTGCTCGAGGACACACAAACAATTAAGTGTGGGGGATATAATCTTTTGTTATTTACGCATGTATTTCCCACCATTCTTAGACTGTCTGAGGATCGATTTCTCACATTTTAAACCAATTTCACGCTAGGTTGTGCCTTTACATCGTATTTCATGACTTTGACCCGAAATGAAGGTTTAGGAGCGAGTTTCAGGTCAACATGGGGATCGGACGAGACTTGAGAACTGGAGAGTCAAAATCCCCAGTCATGCCATCAATTCCCAGAACGGGGATCATTAGCAAGGATTGGGGAAGGTGATATGTTCCCTCTGATCGCGGAACAACAGAATCTAATCGGAGAATGTGACCGAGGAAGGCCATTTTGCGACATATATAAGCCGCACTTAGATTTTTGTGAAAGGGGACGATTTTCCAAGTTTTGAAACGACAAAAGAGAGTCTTAGAGATAGCAAGTGATTAAGAATAGCCTTGGGAAGAGATTGGAGTCGTCTAAGGTCATTAGAGCTCGATCCTTCACCCTCGAAGTGCGGATGCATCACCTGGAGAAGAATCCCATCTTTCACACAATGATTTCCACTTCCAACTTTGTGTTTTCCCTTCTATCCATGAAGTAATCTCTCTTCTTATCTGGAAATTAAGAACCCTAACGTGTATGTTAGGAATGATCGCATGAACTCATTTTCATGCAGAATTGATTATCTTATATCCAATTGAGGCATTATTCTGAATTGCATGAGTCTGTGCATAGGTTAAAAAGAGCAAACCTAACTAGAAGTAGTGAATCGATTGCTTTAGTCGAGAAGTCGATTCACTGTTCTGTAATGGAATTGAAATCTAGTAGATGAAGTTTTGTGTGTTAGTGCCTCGGTTAGCTTATTTCGGTGGAGGTTAGTCGCCCGCCGGGTATTCTAACTAAGAGGGTCTGGAACCCTTTAGGCGAGACTCCAGACTTGTCAAGAACTTTCTGTTGTATAACTATCAATCAACCTAACTTAACTGCAGACTAAGGGGCACATGCCTGGGTGACCTTTCTCATACTTGGAAATCAGAACATTTGCTTGTTTTCTTTCTACTTTTGTTTAGAATAAATTTCACTCAACTTTTACCGCTAGATGATAGAACTTCACAGAGTAACTAGTACACCTAGGGCTCGGGTTGACAATCTAATCCGAACCCACTTTACTGTAATCCCTTGTTGTGGTTATACTTAGCCACTATAAAGAGTGTTGTGTTATAGTGAGTCATTGATTGATCACCACCACATTGATTTGTAGTTCTCGGGTTGAGATCGATAGGAGATATCCTAGATCCGAGCACTTCTCATATATCATGATTAGCTATTTAGCACGATAATGGTAATAGAGAGTCATGCAATCATAGAAAGGGAGCCATTCTTCATCCTGGGTAATTAGTTAATTGGTTGTTCGATAGTAAAAAATTAATTGATCAGTATATAATTATGCTCGATAGAGACAATTAATATTTTAGAGGTATCCTAACTATGGAAATTTGGATTAAAATAATTAGTAGAAATTATAATTAAAATAAATATTCAAAGGATTCCATAATCTTTTCCATATTGTTTTTATCTATAATTTCTCATCATCTCTTATTTTTCCATTTCACCGTCCTACAAACGCGTTTTCTCCCTCGAAGAGAATTGTTTTAGTATGTTGATAATCCACTAGCCCTCGAGGGATCGACACTCCTTATCATTTATTACTTGATAATGATTTGTTTACTCACATGATATGCCTATAAGTTTTCGAATATCAAGTTTTTGGCACAATTGTCGGGGACTAGTTTTTTCTTACTAATTGATCTAATACTTCTCTTTTTGTGAACATTTATTATCTTTCATTTTCCTTTAACCATGAATCCATATGGCTATTATAACACATGAGAGGATCCAGACTTACCTATTTGGGATAAACTCCAATGACAAGATCAAATTCTCCAAAGCCATTGTTGATGTGACTTGAATCGGACTATCACCCGCTACGACTGGTAATCGGGGGTCTCGCTATAGTGAAACTGGATCTCTCCTCGATATAGTGAAACTGGCTCTCTCTTGCCCGTGGACGTAGCTAACACACATCGTGTTAGTGAACCACGTAAATCGTGTGTCTGTGTTTTTCGATTCTCGCTTTCGTATTCTTGCTTTATCGTTTCCGACGATTTCCCGATCCGTAGCAGCGCATTTATAACAGCCATGATTTTAGATTTCAACAACAACCCTATTTATTTCATAATCAACCACTCCTCGAAGAATTCTACTCCCCTCCCACCTTTCAATAATATTCATCAACAAACCTATTTCTTTCAATATATCCATACATGCATAGTAAACCCTAAAACTAGGGTTTGGGGTTTAGAGCCCTTAGTAACTTAGAGGACTACTCTATAAAGGAGGGAAAAAGTTACATAGAAGAAATTGAAAAAGACTTGAGGTTGAGGAAGATGCTCCTCTCTTCTAGCTCCTTCTCCTTACTTCAGCTTCTCTCTCTTCTCTCTCTCTAAAACCATAAATTCTTCTCACAAAATTAGCTCATCCAAACGGGGGGAAAGGGGTCTCCTATTTATAGGCAATCAGAGGACGAACAAGTTCGCGGCCACAAGGGCAGAGATCGTGGGTAGGATCTTCAGAGGTAAGGTCGCGATCTTGAAACGCAGTCATATTGGCCTTCGAAATTGAGGAGATCACAGGCTGACTTTGTGGTCGTGATCCACGAGTAGCGACCGCGATCTTCCTCGCGGTCAAAAAACATTGTGGCCATGATTCGATAAGGGAAACTCTATGTTTCTCCTTGGCTCCTTCCTCGGAAGTTCGCGCCTCGAGCCCTCCAATTCACGGTCGCGATATTCAGCTAGACTTCGCGAGTTAGGATATTGGTCGTGATCTTCACTTCTAGGCCAAAATCCCCAATATTATGCCCCCTTGCTACACTTGTGACCTTGTTTTGTACCTAATTCGCATATATCATCTAACACACCCTAAAATCACATCGAATTCAAATAGGAACAGAATAGGGATGAAATTGACGATGTTTGAGCATTTATGCACATGAATTGGCATGAAACAGATTTCAATATGAAGGGTAAATAATACTAATTTTGGTGTTATCAAGCGGCTGATAGTCCGATTCAAGTCACATCAATAAATCTCCACCTTAACTTGAATCCTCTTCCTCTGAAATTTCTGTTGTACTCTTATCCTTTTCTCCCTCCTACCATCAATGCCCCTTAGGGCAGATTCACCCACTCAAGGCATTAAGAAAGTCCAAGCAGTGTTGGAACTTGCCATGTGGAACCAACTTCGTGAACATGTCAGCAGGATTATCCATGGTGCCAACCTTCTTCACCTTAATCCTCTTCTCTGTCCTCAAGAAATGGTACCTCACATCTATGTGCTTAGTCCTCTCATGGTGGACTTGATCCTTGGCAAAGCATATTGCACTCAAGTTGTCGCAATACACAACTGGTTGATCATGATGTAGACCCATATCGCTAACCAGCCCATTCGACCATATTCCCTCCTTAGTAGCTTATGTCAATGCCATGTACTCTACTTCAGCAGTAGACAATGTCACCATCGACTGCAGAGTTGCCTTCTAGCTCACAAAAAAATCCCAAGAGTGAATACATAACCGGTCATTGATGTTCTCATGTCAACATCTCCAGCATAGTCAAAATTTGAATAACCAGCCACTAAGCTCTCTGTATCACTTCTGAAGCTAATCCCCACATCAGATGTACGCTTAAGGTACCGAACGATCCTCTTCACAGCCTGCCAATGCTCATTCCCGGGTTGTCTCATGAACCTGCTGACAACACTAACAACATGTGCAAGATTAGGTATAGTGCAAACCATAGCGTATATCAAACTACCAACTGCACTAGCATATGAGACTCTCGACAAGTACTCCTTCTCAGCCTCTGACTGTGGTGCATAAACTGAGGATAGATGAACATTTGAAGCACTAGGAGTATTCAAGGGCTTTGTTGAAGTCATGGCAAACCTGGACAGACCCAGGCATTTTTACTATCCCTTGCATTATAGGTGGCCTTTATGTAGGGAAGTTCTTGGAGGACTTAGGCGCAAGCATAATTGTGATGTCATATAAACTATTTAAAAATCTACGCCTAGGTGAACCTAGTAATATTAGGATGAGCATACATTTGGCTTATTGTTCCATTATTCATCCTAGAGGCATCGTAGAGGAA